TTTATGAATTTTAAAAGTTGCTCAAAAACTGGGCCAAAGTCCCTGTACTATAGTACAGGGTCACTAGCCAAATTTGCCAAAAATGAAAAGGAGAGAATTCTCCAATTTTAATTTTTTTCTTGATACATGCATGTTCTTATAAGTACATTCACTACATTGGATAGAAAGTTTGAGCTGATTCTGATCAAAATTAGATTTATTATGAATTTTTAAAGTTGCTCCAAAATCAAGTTGTACCACTTTAGCACAGGGTCATTAGCCAAGTTTTCCCAAAAATAAAAAGGCGAGAATTCTCAATTTTAATATTTACAATAATAATACATAACTCCAAAACTGAAGAAGTTTTACTGCTAGATTACTCACGATCTTAATCTTGTTGACATAGCAACTGAAGGAGGAGGCTCCGCCTCTTTTTCAATTTCCTACAACCGAAAATTAAAGTATTAAAAATTAAAATTAAAAAGAAATATTAAAGTACATGTATGATAATACTTCACTAAAACTAATCATAAAAATATAATATTAATAAATGTATTTAATAAACAATAAACAACAATAATTCAACTTTTAATTCTCCCTTTTTCTCTTTATTATAATGTACATGTACATGTATTTAAATATTATTATTATTATTATTATTTTACCAGGTGGTTCTCTTTTTCATTTTCTTCTTGTGCTACTGAGAATTCTTTCATTTTATCAACTCTCTACATGTGGAAATATCACATTAATATATTAGCCACACCCACTAATTAAGGACGTACCAATGATTGCATGGCTGATTCCATATCACCTCCTCTAACTAATTAATAAAATAAATAAAAATTAATTATTAAAAAACAAATAAAATAAAAATAAAATAAAAATTAATTAATAATAAACAAAATAAAATAAAAACTAAATAAAATAATCAATATCATTAGTAGCTTACGTAAAAATTCTGATAGTTCCATGTTCCATATTTCCTAAAGTAATAAAATAATTTAAAAACCCAGAATTATGACAATCGTCAACAATATAACGAATTAGTACATGTACATCACATGGACATGTGATTAGAGTCATTAGAGTAATTAGAATCAAATTTTTTGGTGAATCCCCAGGGGGTCAAATTTTGATGAATCCCTAAATTTTTAGTGACTGGCTGGTTTTAATTTGGGAAACTTGTGACAATGTGCCGTTGAGCATGGTTTGAAATAGTAGGCTTTATTATGGCTATCAAAATGATAAATTTTCCAAAATTATTCTCCTCCAAAATTACATGAACATGAACATGCACCAGCTATATGGTGCTTACTGGAGGAAAAGACGATTTGTCCGGTAACTGTCTAACACACTTTAGAGCCTCTCTCTCGTACCTTTTAATGGCCAGATCTATTGTACGTGGCACTAATAACAAAAAAGAGTATATTTAGATTAAAAATAAATAAATAAACCAATCATCACTGACTCTGTGCTTGCAAGTCTCTTATGACAAAGTTCAGTAGATTTTTGGGCGTCACTTCTGCTATCTCGCTCGCCTTCTCTGATGCATTTTCATTCTTTTTCTTTCTCGCGGCTCTCCTGGTTCGAGGCATTTTCTTCTAATTTTTTTTTCTTAGTTTTTCTAAAAGGAAAGTAATAATTTTTCCCGCCAAACGTTAATTTAGATTACCCTGCAACGCTAAAT